ATAGGGCAAGACAAAGAAAGAATGTAAAGAAAGGAAAATGAAAAAGTTACCCTACCCACTATTTGCAGTTTACACGACTGACTATACACAGATCAAGAAATCTAGGAAATATAAAAACCTTTAGAATTAAGTTCAGCAAAGCTTCAGGAGACAAAAATCAATACAGGAAAACCAAATGTATTTCCTAAAAAGGAACACAAGCAAACCGAAATGAAAAATACAGTACTATTAAATGCTTCCAACATTTAAAAATAAATCTAAAACAAACACACAAACCAGTAACAAGCTGTATGTACTAAAAATGGTAAGATCCCCATGAAGGAAACCCAAGTACCTGTACATCTAAATACTGGTAAGAGTCATATTTGTGCATGGATTCTAAGACTCACCAGGGGAAATACAAAAATGGCAATTCTCCCCAAATTACCATAGAAGCCAGCCATCCCACTTCTGGGTATAGATCCAGAACAGTTCAGCGCAGTGTTACAGCTTGTATCTAGATGTCCCCCAAAACCTCATGTGATCACAGGTGGGGCTTTCACAGGCGGCTGGATCTAGGGTGTATGAGCTGGTATTAAGAGTGCCCCCCTGCCCTGGGTGTGAGTGTCACTTCCGGGCGAGTAGCATGGATGGAAAGAATATAAGAGAAAGAAAGAGCTGCTGCCATCACTTGCTGCTGGCTGGGTTCTGCTGGTTTGTGCCTGCTCTGTGATGCCCCTCTGCTGTGCCAGCCTGTGTGGAGCTCGTTGATAATGGACTGAAATCTCTATAAACTGTGACCCAAAATAAACTTTTCCTCCTTTAACTTTGGGCATGGGGTATATTGTCTCAGGAAGGAGAAAAAGTAACTAAGACAAGTAGGATCATGAAAAGCTATTTGCACACATTCATGACAGCACTCTTTAGAAGGGCCAAAAGACAGCAGCAAACCAAGTGTCCATTATGTGGTGCACGGATAAACACAATGTACCTACTCATACTGGAATAGTACTGAGCCCTGAAAAGGAAGGAACCTCATATTACATTACAGGGGAACTTTGATGAAACTATACTACATGAAATAAGCCAGTCACAAAGGGACAAATACTGTATAATTTCACCTAAAGTAGTCAAAATTATACGGACAGAAGGTAGAATGGTGGTTTCCAGTTGTAGGGGGAAGAGCTGGAAGGGGAGTTATTTAATGGGTAGGTGTGAAGTTTCAATTCTGCAAGATGAAAAAGTTCTGGAGACTGGCTGCACAACAACGGGAAGGTGCAGAACACGACTGAACTGCACACTTGAAAATAAATGGTCGAGACGGTAAGTTTGATGCTGTTATTTTACTGTCATAAAAATTATATTTACATGTACATTAAAAGTACTATTTCAACATGACATCCATAGAAAAATAAGAGTGATTAGTATCTCCCGGGCTCTGTTCTCTCTAGATCTGCAGCACCCAAAGGAGCTCTCCACCTGACAGGAGGGGCCAGATAATTACCAGCTGCACGCGCACTGTGGGGGTGTACGCATATGATGCCGAGGGGTACAGAGAGGAGGGCAAATAGCAGCATATAGGGGTGCCAGCAAACAACTGTAACGCTGAAGTCGGTTACGATCACGACACAGGGAGTCAATATCCAGATTCTAAACTTTTCTCAACTCCAAAATGGAGTTGAAGTGTTACAACTTCATTTTCCCACAATAAATGTAGTATTCTTTCATCTCATCTTCAGAAAACTCACAGACTGAGGCAGAAAAGTGAACATTTTCTAGTGCAAATGCCTGATTGCTACGCACCCCTGCTAAAACTTTTACTTTCTCATTAAAACAAAGACACAAGGATCAATAAAACCTCAGGATGTGCCATCTTCTACTGCAAGGCGCTGAACACAAAACTATTCTGTGACTAAAGGAGCCCCTGGCTAAGGAGAACCTCTTTGTAACCTCACATTTATGTTCCAGTGGTTCACACCGATCATAAAGACGTCTTTATAAAAAATGCATTTTGCAATAAATTATGAAAACCATCACTGAAGATCTTCATGAAAATGGTTGAGCAAGGAATACCAAACAAGGCCAAAAGGATAAGAGAACCACTTAACAGATCAGTCTTTGGAGAAAAAAGACTGCGATGGTGGCCAGGGAAAACCAGGATCGCCTGCAAAACCATCAGCTCGATGGCACAGGCCCCCAGTCACTCAGGAGGCTGAGGCCGGAGGAATAAAGGTTCAAATCCAGCCTACGCAAATTAGCAAGATCTCATCTTTAAATAAATAAATGAGGTTGAGGTAACCCAATGGTATCGTACCCCTAGATTCCATCCCCAGTACTAGGGGAAAAATAGGTTTAACAAGCTCACATTTGTCTCAGTTTTCCCCTCTGACTAGTACTGCATTTCCTGTCTTTCTCCCTACCCTAACTCCTCCTCCCTAAACAAAGGGGGAGAACTTAGATGCTAAAATCTTTACCTTGGTAGATCAATTCAAACAAACTCCTGGCAATTTATCATTTATTCCTATGCATTCAACCCTAAGCTATCACAGCAATCTAATGGAATGCAGTTATACATTAACACTTGAGGATCCATTCCTTTATTCTGCAGGTATAACCAATAACTCTGGCTCACAAGCTCGACTGTAATCTTTAAAGTTCTGTATCTGTCATCTCAAGGAACAGTGCTTACATTATAATTAGCTCGTTAAGTGGTGTCTGTCACCACAAAAAAGAGGCATGACTTGTCTTTACAGTAAAGTAAAAATCACACGCACACGTCCACCATTCCTATGAAACAGGAAGGAGAAACTATTTTCATACATTCAGCCACCACCTGCACAGACTACGGTACAGGCCTGCAGTGTGAAAGTGTAATAGCTTCCACAGGGTCCTTAGAATAACAGCTTTTTAAACATAACATGCCATAAAGGCCCATTCACTCAGTAATAACTATGTCGCTTCATACGTAACCTGGACTGTTTCATCCGCAGCGGCTCCAACAACTTCTAAGGCTGACATCAACTGAGGAGCAGTAGCCCTGGCACTGACTGAAGCAGTGGCAGTAGTACAACTTCTGGTTGCTTTCTCCGAGGGGCCCCAGCACTCAGCAGGAGCTGTGCAGCCAGTCATGGCCGCTAGAATTCCTACAGCTTTGCCTGATTGCCCATCATGTATGGACTGACTAGTCTCTGAGGCTCTGCCTAGCTCTGGAACACCCACCCAGTGGAGCTCACTGAAGGGGGTGAAGACCATGCTGTACCACATTTACAAATACAAAATGTCTCTCTGTGCTCCAGAATTCAAGCAATGGGCCTTTAGCGAGGTATGAACTAAAATCTTACTAGAATCTTTATTGGCTTTCCTAATCAATAACACTATCATTTTTACTTGTGTCTTACTTATTGAGGAAGGACTGATCTGGACAGATGCCAAATGTGAGCGTGGTACACAGTGATCATGACATCAGCCTTTTCCACTAGTGGAGAGGAGCCCATTAAACCTAGAGACTTTCCCCTTCACCTTGGTCACCAGAACTGTACCAAGTCACAAGCTAGCAGAGCAGAGAGGCCAACCAAGCTTACAGACATTGCAACGTGGTTTATACGATGTTTGAAAGGACCTAAATGTCAATGTTTGAATGTCAGAACACTAGGCCTCGAAATTTCCATTCCTGGACCATCCTGCAATATAGGAAGACCTGCTGCTGAGCCCACACGTCCTCCTAGCACAGCCAGGTAGAGAAGCAAATGCTTTCCAACACATCCCTGCCCTCACCAGGTCAGCACCCTCACTGCCAACTTCAGGCCTCTAGGGTATCCTATTTCAGATCTTAACCCTGCCTTTAATTCTTGAAATAAAAATCTATAACCTAGCTTCCAAGGGGAGAACTAGCAGTATCTCCTGAGATCCACGCCATGTTGGAACTTAGGACTCTGGGAAGCCAAGCCAGCACCTCCCCTCCTGGTAAACGGAGGCAGGGTGGCAGACTGCAGCCTTTCCAGGGGGAGACCCAGCAGTGTCTCCTGAGATCCACGCCATGTTGGAACTGAGGACGGTGTGAAAACAAATGACCATCCTGCCTCCCTGCTTAGCAATAGTGAACCTACTGCTACATGGCCTAGAGTCAAATATCCTACTTCCCCTATCTCCCCCCCCCCTCCATTAGCAAATGGGAACCAGAAATCTGAGCATCTCCTGCAAGGTTGACCATAGCAAATAAGGGGGACTTCCTTCTACCATTTCTTTGAAGGCAAATATTTTTATTACTGTTTTGCTCTTTCTGATTAGTGATACTGCTCTATTCAGTATTCTGTTTTGTTAAGTTCTATAGTGTTCTATATTTCATCTCATTTTGATATACAGGATTGAAAGAACAACTATTATAAAGATAACAAAATATACTGTGATACCTATTACTGTTATCCCGGTAACCTACTGTGAAGTTCTGTACCAATTTCACTGTACGATCTTAGTTGGCTTTATTCTGACTTGTTTTGTTGTATACTTTCAAAATAAAAATTAAAAAAAAAATCTATAACCTAACCTCATTAGCACTACATCCAAGTACTCTGAATCAACCCAAAGGGGAACTTCAGCATAAGACACACCATTTTCACAGACCAGTGTTGGTGGTCCTTCTGCAGAAGAGTTCATTTTTACAAACATTAGTTTTGAAAGTCATTAACTTGTTACACCTTTAGTTGTAGTTAGCTGTTTTCCATAACTGAGCAGGTCCTTTGCAAGTAGAACATGTACACTAGTGGGTAAACCAAGCCGTAAATGCTTTAGCTTAATGAAGGGATAGAGATTCAAGCTTTACAGCCCCTAAGGCTGAAGCACTATTATACCTTGTCACACTTTAGAAAAATGTCAGCGTGGTATTTTGACACATCCTCCACACCCATCAACTTACAGCACACAACAGTTGATGGTTCTGCAAAGGGACTTTAAATGCTACACAGCCTTGAAACAGATATTCACACACTCACATGCCAACTGCCTCTTCCCCGGGCAATGCTTACCCATTGCACTGAGATAATGGTTGAAGGCCTGGCAAGGAGGACTTGGGGTTTGTGTTGATTTGTCACAACTCATGGGTGCCGGGCTCCTGTCTGTGTCAAAAGAGAAATACCCACTGGAGGATCGAGACAGCAGGGAAGATCTTCTCACAAAGATGAATAGCGGGGATCTGGTAGCAAAAGGGCCAGGACTGGCCGGTGGGGCCAGCGGGCCCTGAGGGCTGCCGTGGGGGGAGCGGTCCCCTGCGCCTTCAGGATTACCTTGGGGCTCCGTCTGTAGGGAGGTTGGGGCCCCAGCCCTGAGCTGGGATGGCCTCTCAGCAGGCTGCAATTGTCCACCTTCTCTGTCACACTCACAACTTACATCGGAAGGTTGCTTGGCCATTTGGTCTTTTTTTCTGCAAGGAAAAGAAACAAATCTAAGATTATCCAGCAAAACAGTAATTACAGTGAGATAAATGCAAACCTTCACCTATTAAGACTCAAGAGTTCATCCCCAATACAGTACTTTAAAATCAAGTTGGGAGGTTGTTTACTTCTCCAACAACCTCCGAAATAAAATGCACTTGAAATAACAAACGTATGATTATCTTCTTTGTGGTGGTGATGGTGGGGAGGTGGAACCAAACCACCCAACAAAACAGTAACAATGTCAATTACTCGTGAAACTGGTGCGTCTACATAAACAAATACACAAGTCCCAAGAGCAGCAGTCTGTCTGAAGTCTATTCACATGTGCTTTTTGCTCGGGACAGACTTGAATCAAGTCAGAAACTCCCAGCGGGTTCTGATTTCCCGGGATCAGATACCGCGCTGCAGCACAGCAGCAGGCGCAGATGCAGCGATTGCGGGCTGCCGCTGCTGGCCGCGTTCCCTGCTCCGGCCCCATTGTTTGCCGAAACTGCTGAGGGCAGCAAGTCTGGGGAAGGTTTGGCAGCGGCCGTCAGCCGTAGTAAGTGCGTCACAATAGAGTTTGTAACTCGGAGCGCGGCTCGGCCCGGCCCCGGCGCTCTCCGCCCCCAGTCCCTTCGGGTCCTGCCAGCGCGCCGCACCGAACCGGACAGAACTTCCCTGATCTGCAGACATAGTGCTCGGTGCACAGCTCCAAGTGTGGGACCCCCCGCCCCAGCCATGCCCTCACACCCCGTGCAAAGTCCGCAACTAGCTCCCCGCGCGCTAGCCAACACCAGGCGCACCGCCCCTCTGCCCAGACCCTCCCCTCCAGAGGCCACCGCACTGCCACTCACGTCCGCCCCTTCCCTTCCGAGCGTAGCGTCCGCGCCCCGGCTCGGGCCCAGCGGCGTCCAACCCGCGCCCGGCGCCGACCCGGCGCCCTCTGATTGTCACGGTGGAGGCAACGCAGGAGACTAAGCCCAGCTAGGTTCGGGGGCCCCAGGGCAGCGCAGAACCCACGCCTCTCCGCCCGCCGGCCGCTGCCACCACGCTGCACCCGGCAGCCGACAGTTTCGCGCGCCGCGCCTCTGGCCCGCGCTGCGCCGGCCGCGGCCGCCGGGAACATCCTCCGCCTCCTCCCGCTCCTCCCCTCGCGCACTGCGCCCGCCGCGGCCGGCACTGCAGACCTCCCCGCGCCGCCGGCGCCGGGTGCCTGCGTTCTCAATTGGCCCGCGCGCGGTGGCTCGGCGCTGCAGCCAATGGGCAGCGGCGGCGGGGGCGGCGCTTATGGGTCCGGCTGCCGCAGGCGCGGCGATTGTTGACAAACTCGCCTGCAAGCGCTTCGCGAACGGCCTTGGCCAGAGCTTCGGGAGTCCGGCAGCTCTGGCTGCCCCGCCCCTGGGCTCGGCCGGGACAGCGCGCTCGCCGCAGGACTTCCCGCCGCTCTGATCATTTGGAAACAAAATCGGCCTGCACTCTCCCGAGACCCGGCCAGGCAGTTCTCACAAGCACATTGAAGCGGGTCGGGGTGAGGACCCCAAAGGGCCGCACTCGCTCGGCTGCAGCTCCTCCGGATTCCTGCAACTCCGTCTCCCCGCGCGCCGCGGACACGAAACCAATCTGAGCGTCCACTCCTTGTCAGGGGCGTGCACATTCACACCCCATCTCCAGCATCCGGTGGGCAGCTCTCACTTTGGGAAACAGCTCCTGCCCGAGGGAAAGGAACCCCCAAGGGTGGGCGTCCCGGGGCAAACCGGCACGCGCCAGCCGCTAGAACAGCCTGGCCCGGGAGCCCGACCAAGTTCTGGCTTCTCGCTGTCCGTGGATTCTGGGGCTGACACACTACGACGAGTGCGTACAGATCTAGCAGGAGCCCCACGCACGTTCAAGAGGGAACCCTTAGCCGATGCCCTGAAACCTCGGCCTGAATGACATAAAAATCAAACCACAGGCTTGTTAAGTTAAATCACCAACGGAGTTCCGCGAACCCTCGCATCTAACAGCCAAAACTCGAGACCCATCAAACAGCACGGTCGCCTCGCGGGGACCGCCAGTGAGCCTTCCCGATTGGGGACACAACCCGGTACCGCGGAGCGGGTCGCCGGCTTCCCGGTCGGTACCGAAAACAAGCGCTCTTCCACCTTCGCCGCTCCGCCACCCCATGCGCATCCCGACCCGAGCCACAGTTGGGTCAAGTGATCGCAGCTTCGGCGCGGACGATCGGTCCCCAGATCCGACCTGCACCGATGGCACCCTCCGGGCCGGCGATAAACGGTGCAGATTCGCGCGTCTCGGCCTGCACGTGCGCAGGAAGCTGGCACTAGATGGAGCCGCTCGGGCATCGGCGCCCGTCCTCTATCCGTCCCCAGCCGGTTCCTCGGAATACGGAGGTATTTACCTTGCGCTTCTCAGTTCGCGAATCAGAGTCAGACATTGGGGGTACCAGGGCCAGGGAAGGGCACCAAGGTGGTGGCGGCGGGAGCGGGGCAACTCAAGCTCTGCCAGTGACGATGCTGCAAGGCTCGTAGAGGAACTGCAAGAATAAGCTGGCGGCGGCGGCGACCACGACCACGACCACGACCACGACCACGACCACGATCACGATCACGATCACGACGACGATCACGATCACGACGACGACGACGACGACGACGACGACGACGACGACGATGCAAGACGCAGCGCTCCAGCAAGCTGGCGACCCAGAGGCTGAGCGGAGCGAAGTGAAACCTGCTCTGCCCTGCAGCCTAGCTCAGACTGACTGCCCTGCGCCAGCGCCCAATCACCGCGGGCCCCGCCCCCGCTACGTCCCGCCTCCGCGGGAGGGAGGGCAAGCCCCACCCCCGCGCCGGCGCGTGCAGGCTGCGACAGGTAAAGGCGGGGCTGGCCCCTCCGGGTTCCCTGCCGCGCGCGCCGCCGAGCCAGGCGTGTTTACCAGAGTGACTCGGCGGGCAGACGGTTGCGTGCGCGCCCCTCCCCCCAAAGAAGCGCCGGCTCGCCTTTCCCCTCCGGGTGGCAGCCGCGGCCTGCAGGCGGAACAGAGGGGGCGCTCGGGCACGTTCTGCGCCCTGCCTGGCCCTAGCCACCCTCGAGAGCCCTGCGGAGGCGCTCGGCGTCCCGGCTGCTCGGGGGCCGGGAGGGGATCGGTGTGGTTTTCGGATATGTCTGGGTGCGAAGGTTGGGCACTGAGTCTTAGTTCTCCCACCTTCGGAACCCTGATCAACGAGATGCTTGCCTGCCTGGCACGCGGCGTTTGGGCGCCTTCCTGTCACCCTGCAGGCGATTGCCAGCTTTTTTCAGTGAGACGAAGCCTGGCTTGAGAAGGAGCTTGCAGGACGCGTCTTTCCCGCATACCCTGCCTGGGGCTAGAATACCGTGTGTGCAGATAAAATAAGTACTTTTTTTGTAAAAAAGACACAAATAATTGTAAGGGGAAAAGGCACCGAGGAGAGCCTGAGCCTCCAGGTGAAAGAAGGTTGTGCGTGGTCTGCGTCGGGACCCTCGAGAAGGGTTGGGCTCCCCAGGAGCCTGCAGGAACCGTGCCTCAGTGGGCCCAGGCTGGCTTGGGGGGGCTGCTTAGCTAAGGGCTCGCCACGGGTCGCAATATGCGCCCCCCAACCCCTCTTGGTGTCCCCATTTTCCTTCCTCTGGAAATCCGCAGCCCCACCTCGTGACTCTGCCCGGGAGACCCAATTCAGCGCACTTCCGTGTGCCTGCACCCCCGTCCACCGTCCCAGCCCGCGGCCACCCCCGCGCCTCCCGCCTGCTCCCCGCGCTGCCAGGTCCCCAGCCTTGGGCTTTGAGACAGCGGGGCGGGGTGTGGAACTTTGGACTGAAATGGAGCACCCTAGGACACCCTGCTAGGCGGGGATTAGGGAGACTGGGTTCGGAGGCCGGCGGGGAGAAGGAAGGGGCCTCGGCATGGAGGAGCTGATGGGGCGGCCTTGTCCCGCCGTCGGGCCGCGTCGGTCACCTTTTAAATTCCTATACAGATCTGACTTCAGCGTGACGCTGCACAGCCAGCCGCAGGTTTAAGTTTCCTTTTCCGAGTCTAGAACGAGGTGTTCTAGAACCGTGTTCGCAGAGGGGCCGAAGCGGGCGCGCGGGGCCCGGCCGGGGATTTCGGTACAAGAGGGACGGCCAGGCGCGGGGACGCGGCGCCGCCGACTTGCAGGCCGCGCTGTCTCCTGCCCACGGCCGGAGTGGGGGGCGCTCTGCGTCCTACCGGGGACAACAAGGCAACCTGCAGCTCGGGCGCACAGCCTCAGGCCGGCCTCGCCGGGGTGCCCGGCCCTCTCGGCGGTTTCGGCGACGCCGTCCCCGACCGGAAAAGAACCGCGCAGGAGAAAGCCGCTCGTGTTGCTTCCTGCATATCTCTGCCACCCCGCGTCGCCCGCTCCGGAGAACCCATGAATCCTCCAAAACAAAACAGAGGCGTCGGGGAAAGCATCCTGCTTAGTGCTGTTAAGAACTCAGCAAAGAAGCCGGCCCGGAGACAGCGGTCCTAGAGTTCCAGGCGAGGCTGTGTCAGGGACCGTCGAGTGGACAGGGTGCCGCGAGCCCGTGCGGCCCAGGACTGCGCTAGAGAGCGCGAAGGGCAGCGTGGGGACACCGGGGCAGCCTGGGGTCGCCGATCTGGGACATCGATGCAGCTGACGCCGGCAGGGCGGTAACCTTACCGCTGACCGGAGACGCGCTGGTAGGGAAGAGAGGGGAATAAAGTCAGGCCACGGCGCTTTGCTAAGTGGGAAATCCACGGGCCACGGGAGCTGCTTATGCGGTCTCTCCAAGTTCTGAAACCAATTTATTGCAGAGTACTTCCTGGGCCCACCTCCCCAGCCTCTCCGAGAAGAGAGAGTACTTTCCCATCTCTTAATTTCTTTATCAAAATTTGGGTCTGGGCTACTCCAAAGGACAGATTAGTTTCGCGTGGTAACAACGTTTTCTAAGCGTTATCTTGCGCTGCGGAAGCCGCCTACTCCAGAGGACCCGCCTGAGTTTGCGCTTCGCTCAAAGCGCGAGTCTAGGCTCCGGCGGCCGCGTTCCTGCAGAGCCCAAGAGGATCTGATTCACTGGGAAAACAGCACTGTCTTACTTGAACCTTTGCCCGCCCGCGCTCCGAGTGGTTTCTCTGTCTCTTTTTGTCTCTGTCTCTATCTCTGTCACTCTCTCCTCATTACTTATGTATTTAATTTGGCCTGGGGATGTTTGATTTTTGTTTTGATTTTTTTTCACCCAGAACCAAATGTTTTCGAAATCACTGAAAATCTGAGTCACCGATGACAGCAAGAGATTTTTAGCGACACCCGGCTGTGGGGCGCGCTCACAAGGCGCGCGGGGGGGGGGTGTCTGCGGGGGAGAGAGCCCACCCTGATTGTCTAGGGGAATCAGGCTCCCAAGCCAGGCGAGGTCGTGGCCGGGCCAGGCAGGGTTACTGAGGATAAAGCACCATACTCCCTGGCAGCCGTCTGGCTTCTCTTTCCCAACCTCGCGCCCCGAGCCCCGCCAGTTTGTACCGGACAGCTGCTCCCTGAGCAGCATCCCGTTGGGCTGTGACCCCACGCGAGCTGTCCTGGCCTCTAGCCCAGCTCCGGGCGACTGTGGAGCAGCTGTGGACTGACCACCACACTTCTCTCCACGCCCGTCACAGCTCAGCTTGCAACTTGGGCCCCAGAGAGCGAGCGCACCACTTCCCCCGGCTAGCCCAGCGTCTGTCCCCTGTGCAGGGTAGAAGACCAGGGAACTCCTCGCGTTGGGGGGACTCCAGCGATTGGTGCGATTGGTGCATGGAAGTTGATGTGTGGAATGTTAAAGACAGAGATCACCCTCAGGGTATCATCCTTCACCGAGTCGCACAAATCCAGCAACTGCAAAACATGATACAGTGGGACAGGTCAGATGTTGGCGAGCAAGTGCGGTCTAGTCCCGAGGGGGGGGGGCCTCTCCGCCCACTACCAAGCACCCACGCACTCAGCAGCCGCAGAATCTACTTTTGTTTCAGACTGCCAGAGACTGAGCGTGCTGGAAGCAACTGGTCATACATAACCCTCGCAAATCTTTTTATCTTCGGAATTCCTAACTCTCTGACACCCGGGAGAATCTTAAGCTTTTACTGTAAAAGAATTAGGAGAGGGGGCCTCTGCCCCAAATTCTCGCGAAGAACTGGAGATCCTGGTCTGAGAATTAACTTCTCCCGCCTTTCTTCCTTCTCTCCTCGTCCCTGCACTGCACCTCCCGAGTGCCTGGGGTGCCACCCTCTGGCGCACAGATGCAACTGACCAGGAAGTGCCTCAAAGCAGGTGAACCTACAGACCTGCCCAGCTCGCCCCACATGGCACCTTCACATGCAGGCCACGCTTCCTGAAACAGGGCAGAGTGGGCCAGCGGAGGTAGGGTAGGCATTGGCACCGTGGGGCACCCTCCACGTGTGCGAAACCCACCTGCAGTTAACGGGAACCCCGAGGGACACCCTGCATGCTCCTCGGTTGTCCTCGAAGCCACTGGCAGGCGCAGACAGGATGCCCTGTGCAGAAGAAGGGAGGGGGAGAAGCAGGGCAGTGAGTTGAGAAGCTGCACTGGGGGTATTTTTATTTCATTTTCCTTAGTGGAGATGCCAACACTTTTTTTTAATTTAAAAAGAAAAAAAGTTACCCAAATAATAGTTTTTCTAGAACTCTCCTTTTCCCTAGCCAGCTACACGCTGTACTCTTCCATAGTTCAGGCTTTCAGCCAGATGTAAGTTTATTTCACTGCCAGATCACAGTAGACCCCAGGTTTGTTTTGATGGTTTTAGAAACATCATTTATACCATCTCACTTTATACCATCTCATTTATACCACCTCCTGTGGGGTTCACCTAGGCTGTTTGTGCTATTGTTTCTAGGACCACAGTTTCCTTCTCCAGCAGTTCCAAAGGTGGCCTCTAGTGTCCAGAAAAATGGGGATGCAGGGGCAGGGAGGCAGGTAGGTGGGGGAAGAGCATGAATTGGTATAGTTCAATGATTCATCTTCCTTGAACATGTGCTCTATTACATCAGTGATTTCTAATGAAAAACTTCATTCTTCACACATTGTGGTTAAGAATCATCAAATCAGTACTGAGAAGACTTTGATCATATTTGCAAGATGTGCTGAGATGAACTTTCACTGACCAAGATTTCAAAGTTCGTAATTAATACTCTTGACAAATTCCCTGACTAATCTGTCAACTCTCAATATCTTTAACCACACAG